TCCCTCTGTTTTTCCATCCATCTGTGTCTTCTCTGTATTGTCTATCCTCTCTTTTGATATATATTTTTTTCTTCCATAAAGATGACAGGCTGGCTCCGTCTTGTGTTTGGCTTACGCTCATTGCTCACAATGCTCCCACTGTCTGAGAATGCAATCCCTCATTTACATCTGTAAGCTGTTTTTTTTTTCTTTTACAATTCAACAGACAAGTGCAACCCTGTTTTTTTCTGATATGCCAGCAATGGACAGTGTTGCTATGGTTTTATGCAGCTACAGTAATGAGAATGCCTGTTGTTTACTGTGGAAATCAGGCAATGGAAATTGATTGATGACTGTATTATTATAATTTTTTTGCCTATTTTCTTTCTGTTTATTTAAAGAGAGGTCGGGGGGTATGTGGGTGTTTTTCTGCACATGTGACTGTGGAGGACATATTATTCGGTGGAAGGGTGAAACTGTTGTAGACCTATTCTTAACTGTGACAGCTGAATAATTTAGCTTAGCTAAGACTTAAGAATGAGAATTTTTTTACATGGTTTCATAACAAAATTTACTTCATTCATTCACAGTAAAGAATAGTTCAAATCTTTGCAGGAAAAAGGCTGAAAAATAAATATCTTACATACAACAGATTTGTTTGAATATGTTTAACAGCTTCAGTTTTGCATTAAATGTTTAATTATGTTGATGGTTTTTATTGTTATTCATTTGCTAATCACAGCAGCAGATGACTGTGGCACATCCAGTGCACTCTGGGAAACTTCCTAAAGTAATATAACATTTCTGCAGGAAGAACCACCTATTACATTTTTAAAATTAAACCTGCATAATGAACAATTTGGATCATTTTAACTACTAATCAAATGTAATAACATGCTATTTATTATAGGACATCCTATTTGATTAAAATATCAATATAAAGTAAAAAAAATAATTATATATATATATATTTGCATTACATTAAAATTCTGCTTCTTACTGTCCTGATTAAGAAGTCAGTGAAAGAAGTTGTAAGACGCAGTTTTCCTAAAGCGGCTCTCATAAATTCCAGTACTTCGCAGTGATGAAACCTGTTTAACTTTGAGCGTGATGGCACGTCATGTGGTTTAACAGGCGAGCATTCCACATCCTTGTTCCATCCACTGATCACTCAGCCAGCACGCAGATCAGAGCGGCTTCTAATAATAGAAGAGGGGCTTCTGTTGGGTACAGTATACGGACTGCGCATCTGCTTCATCCTTCACCCAAATTAAACCGCGGTGCCTTTTAAATCAAGGAGGTATGTAGCTCTTAAAGTAATCGCCCTGCCATGTGTTCACAGAGCTAAACGCGGCGCCATTTATAATGTCGCTAAGCCGGGATGGACCCACTTGTGACACACAGTCGGATCAAGTCTCTTTGTTATGGTTGTACTATGTCGCATAAACAAAAGATAATCTTGACATTTCCTAGAGCATCTGAAGTTATTCAAGTGTCATGGGGGGATTTTAGCTCAGATCTTTCAAAGTGGAATCTTGTGGAAAGCGTTGTGAACAAATAATATCTTACTTGTTGCAGATAGCTCTTTGAAGGGTTTTAGCTTCTGATCAAACAGAGGAGTTAAGGGTTAGATCAAATGAGGTCAGGGTAAAAGTGGATTGCTGTCGTCTTAAAACGACTGCCTCCAAATTGTATATCAGTTCATGCAAACAAACAAATGTATAAACTTTGCACTGCTTTCTATTTTGCTGCTGGTTACACTTGCAAATACACATACAGCAATGCAAAGATTTTTAGTTTTTAAATTAGCCAGTTTAGTTTGTTTAGTTCAGCCAGTAGCTTAGCAGCGAGCTCTCCAGTCCAAACAGCAATCAGCTGGGAGGATGTTAAATAAGCTAAAGTCATTTTATTAAACACATTTAAAGCACTACACACCTCTTTCTGACAAAGAACCAGATATAATAGATAAAAAAACACATGGAGTGATAGCAACCATATTAAGGAGTGAAAAATAGCCACAGACTCATATCTGTAACAAGAAGCTGCTCTTATTTTAGTGTCTGCCTGGTGCATGTGTAAAATCCCATAGGAGATGTATTGGGTGAGAATATAGATATCTGGTTTTAAACTAAATATGAGCTTAAAGGGAACATTTTGTAGATGTTTGTACTTGGTTTTAGATCTACATTCAGTCAAAATTATTTCAGAAAAAAAGAAAAAGTTAAAAACAATATTAAATGATTATTTCAGTTAGGAAATTATTCAGGTTATCTGTCTAACAAAATACCACATTTTCTACAACACTAACATGGTTTTAGCTGCGTAAACTGTTAATTACATTTGCATGTACAGTAAAGTAGATTTTTCTGTTGGTTCCACTCAGTGTCTATGACCCCAATCATCACTTGGTTTGGTAACCAAAATAAAAACACTTATTGTACAAGGACCCTCAACAAAACAGACACAATGATGCAAAATGAGAAAAATAATGTAATGCATTTTACATTTTTTTAATTTCTTCTAACGTTTATGGCAACATTTTAGCAATCAATGGATTTTATTTGATTTCTGAAGATCACGTAATATTTCAACCTGGATACCAACTCAGTAATGAGAACCAGCATTTTAAAAACGCATGCTGAAATTATTCAGCTCTGTCATCACGGTCATCTGAAAGTGTCTGAACAAGATATTAAAAACAAGAAGCCCTTTATGACCTTAAATTATTTCTGGCATTTAAGAGTCTTGACTTTTCAAACAGCAAATGACTCGAAACTATATTAGCCTAGTGTTAAAAAAAAACATTAATAGACGTAAAGATCAGAGTGATTTCTCATCCTCCATCAGTTTTCTTGATGACCCAACGCCTACATTTGCAGCAAAGTGCAGTAGACGAAAATACACATTACCCTATTATAAGTTACAGCTGTGTGTTTTCATACTAAAGGTCAGATATCCAGTGTGCAGATGCTCTGTAGGTTTGGATGGAAAGCACCTAATTATTCCCATTGCTGTGAATGAGATGTGCTGCTGTGTGTGAATTCAATAGTTCATAAAATCAGGTCGGCTCTCTTTTAAAAAAGTGATGTATTATAGAGTAGCCTGCAGTAACAAAAACGATACAGGCAGAGAGAGTTTCATTTCAGTTTTTTTTTCTCCTGGAGCAGTGTTTAAGATTTGGTTTTCTCAGGAAGGGTATAGTGCCGCATTTCATGCAGGTTATCAAAGAGTTAAGGAGGAGACTGGAAGGTGAATCATGTTCAAACTGAACCACACCTGACTTTTCAAGGCTGCAGCTTCTTACATTCCCGAAGAAGCTGGAGCAGGTGTGAAATGAAATTGACTTTAGCTGAATAATCCTCTAGTCAAAGCAGGAGGGTCAAGAGAAACTGGAGGCATCACTTTTTTTTCTCTCTGCTGTTAAATTGTTAAAAAAATTAAGAAGTAAATAAGAAAATGTATAAGTTGTTTGATAAATATCTGAACAGACTCCACTCTTGGCATAATTTCCTAAAACCCACTGCCATTTATTTTTTCTCCCTTATGAGGTAAGAGTCATTTTCTCAGCTATTAAAACTTATCCTGAAATACAGTTTGACCAGTTTTATAGAGGTCATATTATAGATGCTAATGATGGTAGTTTGGTTTCATCTCCAAAGTTCCTGAAATGTCAACTTTCTTTCTTTTTTCCCCTTCTTCTTTCTTTGACACCAGCACAAAATGTTGGCTTTATTTGTAAGATTTCATCTTTATTCTATTTTGTTTTATCCTACTATAAAATATGAAAGCAGAAAATGTGGCACAAGTTATGGCATCTGGTGTTCAGAGGAACTATAAATCTAGCAATCAGTTTTTAATCCGCTGCTCTACAGCAAGACAATAATAATATAAAAGAATATTTTCTGATTTGTCAGGGAGCACACAGGTGTGGTTCATTTTGGACATCTGTTTTTTTTTTTTTTTTCAGACATCTGGATTGGGTCAACATATTTTAGTTCTGATTATTGTTTTATTGTTATTTTTTTTACTCTGGCTTTATTTGTTTCAGTGTGATTTGGAATGAGATTATATTAGTTTGTACAAAAATTAAAATTAGTTTTGTAAACCCATCACATTAGGCATACACTTTAAAACTTATTAATAATTATAAAATAAATCACATTTTTTAAAAAAGTGGTTGTATTTTCATTTTACTTTTTTTTCAAGTTATCATTATGCATTCTTTTTAAATACAACCAATGAAAATGAATCTAAACTCAGCATGTTTGTTGTTCAGACGTATTTTTTTCTTTTAGTCAAATGTACCTTGTCTTTTTATTTTTATTTATATATTTTTGAGTGTATAGTCAGTAAATAATCCCAGAATGAACAGCATGAGGGCTCTGGTTCTAAACATGTAAATAATAAGTAGACATTAATAATGTTTTAAAGCTACACTTGTGTTTGACTAATCTAAATGTCTGCTCTGAGCGAAATGCACCAGCTCGAATTAGCATAAAAATTTTGACAGGTGTTCCACTCAGAGCACTTTCTTTTAAATCCAATGATTCCTCTCCCGCTGTGAACTTAGACAGCAGCGTTGCGAATCTGGTTTTCACGGACTGTTGGGGAGAATTTTTCACTTGAATGAGTGGATAAAAGACAAAAAGAAAAAGAAATAAAATAAAATCATTGACTGCTGGAGAGTTGTTCACGGTGAAGCTTTGTGAAGTGGGAAGAGGGTCGAAAAGTAAAACGGAGGAGGTGGGAGTGTTGACGGCTGACACCAGCTTCCTGCAAGATGTTGGGGACCTGTTTGAACACCTTACCTCCTTTTGAGATTCTTCTGAAACACACTCATTAACACACACGTACAGACAAACTGACACGTGTCCCGTCCACATAAACGCACCGGTTAGGTTGACCTCAGGACCTTTGCCACCCCTCCTGACTAATTTCACCTTTTAAACGAGGGGGACCGCTCTCTCTTTCTCTCTCTTTGTGTCCTCCTGTCTACTTTCATCATGTCTCTGTGTCTGCAGACCTGAATGAGTGTGGGCTGAAGCCGAGGCCCTGTAAACACAGGTGCATGAACACATACGGGAGTTACAAGTGCTACTGCCTGAACGGCTACATGCTGATGCCTGATGGGACGTGTGGAAGTAAGTCTGACAAACACACTCACACATGACTCTGTGACTGTTCACACTGTTTGAGTTATTGCCTGAAGTGCAAAAATATCCGTTTTCTCTCTGTGCTATTTTCTCTCACCTGCTTTGTCAACGTGTAGGTGTGACCGTGAGGTGTTTGTTTCAAAGAATAGCTCAGATCCTTCGAAGTGGGATTCTGTAGAAAGATTACTAACAGTTATTTTAGAACGGGTATGAACAGTTTATTGCGGCTGTTGCAGATTGCTCTTTAAACAACCACAGTTTGGAGAACAGCTGACCAGATTGATGAGCTAACAGCTACATAGTCGGAGCAAAACCAAAGTGTTCCTCAGCCCGTTCAGTAATGGCCTTCAGCCTTCGGCCTCAGATTTCTACAGACTCTTGAAATCTTTCGATGATATTATGACCTGTATATGTTGAGATATTCAAAGTCTTCCCAAATTCTTGTTGACGAACATCATCTTAAAACTATTCCACTACTTTTAGACGCAGCTGTTTGCAGACTGGTGAACCTCACACGTCTTTACTTCTGAGAGATTCAGCCTCTCTAAAACGCCTCTAACTGAACCGTTAACCCAGTGAGGTCGGAGAGAGCAATCGTAATATTGTTTGGAGCGAGGACAAGCTGGTAAAGCTGAATGTGGTGACCATGACTTGTTAATGACCAGCTGTGATGGAGTCTGTGGAGCTCATTGCTGCAGCAGTTGACCAGAAACTAAATACAGTAGGTGTGTTTATTGACCTATGTTAGGTATTTGATTCTATTGACCATGCACGATTATCAGGTAAATGTGAACTGTATGGCCTACGAGGGGTTACACATCACTGGTTAAAGAGTTATCTGAGTAATTCACTACAATATGCACAAATTAACAACACAGTCACAGACCGAAATGGTTAAATGTGGTCTTCCTCAAGGCTCAGTTCTAGGACCTAAATTATTTATACTTTACTTAAATGATATTTTTGCAGTATCCAATCTCTTAAAGTTTGTAATATTTGCTACAAATCTATTTTCCTCTGGAAAAAATTAAAAACAGTAGAAAAAGAGCTAGCTGAGTTGAAAACGTGGTTTGACTATAACAAGTTGTCATTAAATGAAGGAAAAACTAAATTTATGGTAGTCTCCGATAATCGGATCCATAATAATGTAAGGCTATGTATAAATGGAGTTGAAATTGAAAGAGTTTATGAGACAAATTTTTTAGGAATTGTTATAGACAATAAACTCAGCTGGAAGCCTCAAATAGAATATATTAGAAATAAAGTTGCAAAAACTATTGGAATATTGTTTAAAATTAAAGATTTAATAAATATTATGGGTTTGCATCTTATATATTCCTCCTTGGTTTTGCCTTATTTTGTCATACTGCTCAGAAATCTGGGGAAATGCAAGTAAAACAAACATTGATGTATTAGTTAAGTTGCAGAAAAAAAGCAATAAGGCTTATTAATAAAGTAGGATATCGTGAACCCACTGATAAGCCCTTCCTTGGAAGTAATATATTAAAATTTAAAGATATTGTTTATATAAAAATACTGGAAATAATGTATAAAGCATTGAACAAAAGTCTTCCTTCTGGTATTCAGAAATGATTTGAGTTAAGAGAGAATAAATATAATCTGTGAGGTTTATTTATATTTGAATGTGCAAAAAACGAGTCAGGTAAAGTCAAGATGTGTTTCAGTTGTTGGTGTGAAACTGTGGAATGAATTGAATGATGATCTTAAGTTATGTGCGTTCTTGGTGAGCTTTAAAAGAGCTCTGAAATGTAAAATGATAACATCTTACACTGTTATGTAGATTTATTTATGTATTGTGAAGATATCTTGGTTGGTTGTTATAGGGTAGGCAAGAATAAGCTTGGCTTCAGCCTATCCGTTTTTTGGTAAATTATGAGTTTGTTTATTGTTTCTGTTTTGTTTGTTGTTGTTGTTTTTTAAGGTTTAATGTGAAAAATTTACCAAAAATAAAGTGATTGATTGATTGATTGATTGATTGATTGATTGATTGATTGATTGATTGATTGATTGATTGATTGATTGATTGATTGATTAAATTTAGGTCAGCACGTCAATGAAACTCTTGTTGCCAAGGTATACACGCATACGTACGTGTCAACCCCTTCGGACATCCTCAGAAATTCGTATTTTCTGTTGTATTCGCACGAAAACGTGAAGCAGAGATAACAGCATTTGCAGTGTGGAGAATAGCGGAGGACAGGAAGGTTGCAAACTTATTTCTACACAGTCGGCCGGCTCTGAGATTTCAGCTCAATTCAAATTCAAAAGTACTTTACTAATCCCAAAGGGGAATTACATAACTTAAATGAGACTTAAATAAATTCAAAGCAAAGTTTAGAAAAAAAAATCTGAAATATTGACCTATACTTCCGTGAACGAGTAAAATGGGGACAAATTTGTTTAACTTACAGGCAATCCGTACAACTTGACATGTATGTACACATCTGCTATGAATGATGTGTCTAAAAGGCAGAAGCTAACCGATGAAAAACTAATATTTATATGCAGTTCTCTACTTCGTGATAAATTGTTTACATTGTCAGCCCGCTGCAGTCAGTCTTCTAAAAGTGTGCATGACAACTCTAGCCAGCTCAGCAGTTTTTTATTTGTACCACTTAACTTCTACAGCTTTTGTTGCCTCTGTCCCAGCCTATTTTGAATAATTTGTTGACACCAACTTCAAAATCATCTTTGGAACTGTGGGTGTATAACAATGAAGATCTTAACGGTCCATAACTTTTCCACGGAACCTCCGCGTCAAAACATTTGAACTGTGACTTGAGTATTAATGTAGACGAGGCAATTTCAGAAGAAAACATTGATGGCATTTTGCCTTCTTGCCATTAAGTAGATTTTGCCTTCTGTAGGAACACCTCTGACAGCTGCCTTGCAATCTTTTGATAGACTGTTTTGATTAAAGCCCCATGTTGATCTGCTTCATTATGGTAGCTCTGCTGTATGAAAGACCCCTGTGAAGAGCACTTCCAGGGCTAAAATGAAAAATCTAAAAGAAGTCTTTCAGCCCTCGAGTGAGTGTGCAGGTTTTATTGGAAGCAGCGAGGTAATTTCATATAATGTGAGCTGCTGCCCGAGCACATCTCCAGGTAAATTCTGTTTCCCACCTGATAAGTGTTTTTTTCTCCGCAGATTTCCATTAGAGGATGGAGTAACTCCTTCTACCTTGTTTTAATTAACGCTTTTTTACACCGATAGACAACAAATCCTTCCCCTTTTTTAAAGTCTGGACTGCGCCCACCACTCGAGGCGATTTGAATTTATTCTGTGTGTTGTTTTTGTAATGATGGTGTTAAGCACCTTGCTGCTCTTCTTCTTCTCTCCCTTGCTTCTGCTTTGATCAATGGATCACTGTGGCATTTAATCAGCCCAGACTGCCTCTGTCATCAAACTGTACTCCAGGGAGCAGCTGAAAAGAGCTGCAGCAGCAGGAGCCCTGCTTTTAATTTCCTTTTTAGGGTTTGGAATTCATCAGGGCGAAAAAATAAAAATAAAAAAAGCCAAACAAAATCTGTCCCGTTATATTATTATTTTGGAGGATCTTGATCTTCACAGCATGACTCCACAGCAGCGGAGCTGCACACGGCCACCGTCGATACGCTGCAGATGGATTATCAGTCTCTGGGTGTGAGCAAGGGTCACAAGGGTAGAAGGAGGACCGCTCGAGCGGAAGGTGTGAGCACAAAGCAAGTGCGCAGCAGAGGAATCCAATAATGGCAGTGTGTGTGCTGTTCTCTCACCGGTGCCTTGGGGTCAAGCTTGCTAATATCCGAAAAGGCAGGCGAATTGGCCTGGCTCCTACAAATAGGCTGGAGGATAAAGAGCATGTGTAAAGATGTGAGGAGGGGAAGAAAAAGTGTGACTGAGAGCAGAATAAGCTCCCTCGTGGCACATGCATGAGTTATGTGTTTTTTTTTTTTTCTCTTTCCCCCCCCATCAGACACTCGCACTTGTGCTGTGGCCAACTGCCAGTACGGTTGTGAGGTGCTGAAAGGAGAGGTCCGATGTCAGTGTCCGTCGCCGGGGCTGCAGCTGGCTTCAGATGGAAGAACCTGTGTGGGTGCGTCCCTGTCTTAATATATCTGCAGGCGTGAAAGCTGAGCTGCGTGTTACCACTCCCATCCGTGAGCAACTGATGTACGACAGCATGGCTTTTCCTCAGCTTGTAGGTTTGATGAGGGATTATTAGGAACGACTGCTTTAGCAAATGTAAACAAACAGAAACAAATCGTCATAAAAACACACTTGTTGGTACTGAAACAGATCTAGTTAGGAAGCAAAATATTCATTGTGAATTATTATTATTATTTTTTTTTTACATTTTTAAGTAAAAGGGAGCTAAAATGTCCTCTGATCATTATCAGGTTTCTGCTTCTCAGACAGGGAACAGATAAAAGACGGAGGCAGCCGAGGCAGTTAACCTGTGTCAGGTTTAAGCACAGGCCGCTCCGGTCCGACTCGTTTCTGTTATCAGCCCATTTAGGGGTCGCAGGTTTCTAAAACTGGGTGGACATCAATCATGAAGGAGGAGCTGGAAAGGTTTTTCTCCACAGGTGGGAGAACAGTCTGAAGAAATGTTGTTTTTCTTTTAGATGCAGACAAACTTTATAAAGGTTTTTCAGCGCCTTGGACTTTGCTTAGGTATAAAACAAAATACAGCATTTAAGACAGTATGAGAATACATTTATTGTTTTGGATTATATGTTATTGTATTTTTACTGCAGCAAGTAAAGATCTTTACTAGCTAGTAACTGAACAAATAAATACCCAAATTACAAATTTAAAAAACGTGCTCTGTTTTTGCTTTTTAACCTTTTTACTTTTTTATTTTACTTGGTAAGACTTCTTGAAATACTTGATTTGGCTCAATTTTTTCTTATTTCAAGAATCTTACCAAGTAAAATTTTCTTACTCCACTGGCAGATATTTTAACTTAATTTGAGTCAAATTTTCAGGCTAACAAGACAAATAATCTTACACATTCTGAAAACAAGGTTATTGTTCTTACGCAATCTATTCTTGTTTAGTAAATCAGTCTCAAAACAAGATCAAGAAGACCTTTTGGCTGGATTTGATAAGATGGACCAGTTTTTGCAGTGCACCTGTGAGGTTAGCCTTAGGCTTGGCGGTCAGGGTTAGGCTGTAGAAATGAATGGAAGTCAATGCCAGGTCCCAATAAAGATAGCTGTACCAAAGTGTGGGTGTAGGTGTGTGTGCATGATTTAAAATGAAATATTTCACTGTAGCAGCTGAAGTGGAGCTCCATCCTCTAACTGTTGGCCCAAAAGAACATCCACTAAAGCAGTTTGGGATTAAAAGCCTCACAGATGGGAAACAATAGTAATTCTGCATAATGTTTTCAACCTCCCTGTAAACAGCACGCTTTGTGTTCCAGCAGCCCCTCATAAGTGAGTCATTTTTAGGCAAATGCACTCGGGCTCTTTGTGTCTAAATATTAATGCTCACGTTCCTGCGAAGGTGAGCAACAGAGCCACTCGGAATAAGTCTTTAAATATGAAACAAGATCGAAAGCAAGTGCACTGTGCACGCTGAGGAGGAGGCTTTGTTCATAAATAAATGTTAACTAGATGAGGTGGAACAGACTTCTGCTGTGAATAATAATGTTTGTTTAGTATAAATTAGCTATTTTTTTATCAATTTTTTTCTCTCGTGGCCATGGTTTGTTCTTGGATACATGTCAGTGAAGATGTGTGAATAATTTGTTGTTGATATATATATATATATTGCTTTTTTCTCTTCTCCTGCAGATGTGGATGAGTGTGCAGCAGGGATTGCCGTGTGTCCCAGGTTCAGGAAATGTATCAACACCTTTGGTAGCTACATCTGCAAGTGTCACGAAGGCTTTGACCTGCAATACATCAACGGAAAATACCAGTGCTTAGGTACATAAAATCTTATTCTGTAATGAAGCAGATGAAGGTCAAATATAGAATCAGAATCAGAATACTTTATTGATCCCCGGGTTGAAATAGCAAAATTGCATAGGCTGAGAAATTTAGCCTACAATAACATTCACATTAACATAACAAAAGTCTGGCTTTGGCTGCATATATATGAAGAAGTTATTGAATATTTAAAATAATATCCACAAAGTTGGTTTGTTTGTTTCAAACAGTGGCAGAAGTAGAAAAAACTGTTATTCGTCAGTGGTTCCAGGCTTTTTATTTTATGGTTTTTGCTGTGTCTTGCACAGGCAGAACATAAGCACAAGTTGTGAAAAAAATGCCAGTGTGATAAAGAAAAATGAAGAATTCCCCAGTTTATCATTTATTTATTTGTAATGTATGCCTGAGCTTTTTTTTTCTTCTGTTCATTAAAGCTAAAAGGCTAGGTCAGGATGTTTGAAGCTGCTGGTTACAGGCCTCTGCTTTTATTGCAAAAAAAAAAAAGCTGATAACTCAGATAGGTACCGACTGTTGTGTACCACTAAAGCTGGAGACAAATTTCCATTCTGGTACCCCAAATGTTTTTTTTTTTTTAAATTTGAGCTTTGGCTGAAAAGTCAAGATCATTTTTCTCAGAACAAAGCAACAACTAACAACACAAGATATGAAGCCGTTTTAATTAGCTTCATATCGACAGCTCTATTCCACCAACAAAAGTAAGATCTTGGCACTTTACTCAGAGAAATCCATCAAATACATTTAAAGAAACACTTGGGAATTGAGTAGAGGAATGAACTCTACATCTGTTTAAAGAAATGGGAACAAGGCGTGGTAGTTCACAAAACCAATACAGACAAGGAGAAAAAAGAAAGAGTTCATTTAATTCTTAAAAAAATGTATGACACTACATTCACGCTGCATATCTGGTTATTTATTTGTATATTTTCACATTATTATTTAAATGTGATCTTAAGTCTCCAGTGTGAACACGGCCCTGAAGCGTCCTGCATGTGCAATAGATGCACCATCACACACAACATGCTGTGTTTGCAAAAATAAATACGGATGCTACATGTGTTAGCATGTTTGGATCAATTCTGAAGTGTGCAAGTAAATTATCATCTGCTCTGCTTGTTTAGTCCAGTGTTTACATTTGATCTGGCTGCTTCCTGCCTACTCGGGTGCAGATAGTGCTTCTGGAATGGGAGCGTATTGAATAGCGTTCAATAAACAAGTAAATCAAGGCAAGGGTGATGGTTAGAAATGAATGAAACACCCTTCAAATCTACAGAAAATCATTAAAACTGCTTGTTTTTAGTTCAACTTCTCTCTCTGTTTAATCTGAAAACTTTATGTGCTCAAACTGAATTACAGTTAGTTTTTTTTTTTTTTTTTGCACAAGTTGACTTCTGTAATTTTCCTTTTCACCTCCTATTTCATTTATCCTTTAAGCATGGACCAAATAAACAGACTTGGCCATCACCGTTAAAGCATTAAGCTGTTAGGAGACCACTTAAATGGCTTTGCTTTGTCTGAGTCTCAGAATAATTTTGCCCCCAAACTACCCTCCTAATGATTTTACTCAAGCATTCATGAAAAAAGATTCCATTATTGACTGAAGTGGTTCTTTTTTTCTTTTTTTTTTTCTTTTTTTTTTTTTGCTGGACAAAAACTGGAGTGTTTTTTTCGAGCACACGTGAAGCAATTAGCCTTTGATATTCTGCTGTTATGTCTGAAGTTGTTCCCTCTTGCTCCTTGTAGCTGAATGTTTTTTTTCTGTTTCTTTTATCTTTTCAGATGTGGATGAGTGCTCTTTAGGCCTGAGCCACTGCAGCAGCTTCGCCACCTGCTACAACACGCCGGGCTCATACAAGTGCAAATGCAAAGACGGCTACAGGGGGATGGGCCACGACTGTAAACGTAAGGCCATGGGAACCCAAACGTTGGCCCCGATGCTCACTTTTTGCCAAGAGGAATAGGGGCGGGTGGCCTCTCGGTTTTTTGTTTTCTTTGCCAAGATTTTTCTAAATCGTCAGGCAAGCGAGAAAGAGGGGAGGAATAGCTTTCCGAGAATTGTGCCGGTTCTGAAATTCCTTTCTTTGTGATGGCTGTCAGTTAGTGCTGAAATCACCCTGCTTCCCTTATCTCATGAGCCCAGAGAGAGTCCAGTTTTTGCCACATAGACTTTCTAAAAAGGAGGAATCATCAGAAAATGGGAAATACTTTGAATTTAGTTTGACTGACACATAGGTAATTAACCTGAAGAGAAGTAATTTAGTTTCTTTATATTCGTTCATTTATCTTAAACAATAATTCAGTTCCTAGAGGAAAGAGGATGCCTCTTAGAAACATAGAAACAACCCCCCACCTCTAACTCCCCGTCGCCTCACCAGAGGGTGTGACCAAGGGGGGGCATTTGCTCTGAGAATCGAGTTACAATTTTTCCATTTGTGAATCAAATATCAAAGTGGCCTGAAAACTGAGGAGGGAATGATTGAGTTCAAACTACTTACTTTTATCCACACTAATTCCTCATTTATAATCGTTTTCACCAGAACCCACCCACAAGTCCTGTGTCAGCTTGAGACAAAAGCAAAGAACAAAAAAAAAGGGGGGATTCGTTTAGATTCATCAGTGGTCAGCAGTCTGAGCACAAGAAGCTTGATGCTGCAGGAAATCTGGCCAATAAACAAATATTTACTCATCAGAATGACTGCATGAGCAGAATGAATAAAACCTGAAGTCTGGTTTTCAGGTCAGACTGTGATTGCATTTGATCTTTTGCACGTGTCAGGTCCTGTTTCAGCGAGATTTCAGGATGCTAACATTTAGTTAATAGATATCTGGAGAAGTCTCAGCGGGTGAAATAAAGCCCTCCTCTGTGAAAGTCAGGCTAATCGCTGCAGTTAGTCTGCAATTCTGCACCTCATTAACTCCGAAGTGCTCATATTTCAGTGCTCCATCTGCATTCTCCTATCATTTCAGCCATTCCAAAGGTGGTGATTGACCCTCCGAGACCCGGCAAACCGCCTCCGAATCATCACAACCACATCCCAGACTTGGATCACAGGAGGATCCCCACAGTCCGCCCGACGGTGCCTCCAAAAAGACCCATCACCGCCGCCCCCAAATTACCAGCCACAACTACGACCAAAGCCCCTCCGCTTCCCGGGAGGGTGACGCCGCCCCCGCGCAGGCCGGCCGTGCCAACTCGCAAGCCTTTCATCCCGACGAGAAAGCCCACGCTCAAACCCTACGTCCCACCAAAGCCAGCGGCTCCCACCAGACGACCCCCGCCGCCGCCGCCTCCACCCGTCACACCAGTAGACAACAGCATCCAGAGGGAGGTCACCAAACAGAGAGGCGATGTGCACAGTAAGAGATAAACTCCTATTTTCTTTTCGCAAACCGCTGATTGAAATTCTGCATAAAAAAACACGGCTTCATTCCTGGTCTTTTATTTGGAGTGCAGATCATATTTCATGTAAGCAATCTTTATAGACAAACATTTAAATGCAGAAAGTAACATTCTCACAATGAATGCATATCATCTAGAACACTCAGCTATATACATTTACATGATCATCCACCTTTCATGGCAGCAAGAAATATCAAATTGTGTGTCTGATAATATTTTTCTTCCTTTTTACACATGCAAGTATAAATCTCTGAATGTTGATGTCTAAAAACAATTCTATTTAAAAAACCCAAATTAACATGTCTTGGTATTGTCAGCAAACTGGTTCCTTCTTACACATAATCTGGGTCTGTGATGTTCCAAGAGTTGGATTTAAGGTCCACAAATGGAAAGGATCAGACTCGTGGTGTAAGCTTCTTCTCGCTCCTCAGCTTCATTTTATCTCCTGGTGCAGGGCAGGTAGAGCACACGGGCTGTTTACAGAACCGCTGCTGCGTGTCTGAAAAACAAAGCCGATCAGAACTGTGCCGTTGGACACGACTTGTAAAGCTGCAGGATGGAAGAACAGGGAAAAATAAATAAATAAAAATGAGGTGAAACATCCCTCAGAAGGTTGCTCTGATTATTCATGTCCAAGTGTTTTTCATCCAGACCCAGTAAACGTCAGGCTTGCTAATGCATTTTCAAATCTATATTTTACTGTAAACATACCAACCACTAAAGCTGATTTCCAAAAGAAACAATGTTTTGGAAGTAATTAAAGAAATCTCTATGATGTATTTCTGGATAAAATATTTTTGCCATTTACTAAATGAGATCATCATTTTTATATAGTATTGGCTAAAATAGCACAAGTTTGCAGAAGTAGTTAGACTCTAAAAAGAGGTAAAAAGACAACAGGACTCTAAATGAGATTGTTCATTCAGCTGATTTAAGTCACAGAATATAAAATTCACAAATAATTTTTTTTTTCCATGTAAGAGCTGAACATTCTGGTTTAGTAAAACAAACCTCGTAAGTTAGACAAATTTTGACCTTTTTCTTTTTTTAACTCAAGTAGAGAACAAAAATGGAACTGCTGAACGAAGAGGGAATAACATATTGTCATTTGCATTTCTGAAACAATTGCTTTCACAAATCAGCACATGCAAATGAGAGTGCAGCAAAAGCAGAGCGCTTGCAGACCTTAACAAGCTGTTGCAGGTGACCGTTTGACAGAAAACATGAATCCAACAAGAGAGCTGTGAATTTGAACAATGGGGCAAATTATCAAACTACTTTTAGACAGGAATTTAGTGATGTGACAAAACGTGGCTTGGGACAACTGCAAACTAAAAGAGAAGGTCAAAATGGACACGGAATAATTAAGGATGACACGAGGAGTGGGAGGACAAAAAGAATGACTGATAAAAAAAGACACTTGAGTTCTTCTAATGATACATTTTTAACAAGTTTTTTTTTAATGGACCAACCTTTGAGTGCTGCAGAAATTAAATAATTTTAGAAAAGTATTTTTTATCAAGATATTTCTTGATTTTGTGTGCATTTGTTTTTCAGGAGACACAAAAAGAAACAGTTTAATGATAGTTGATGGCAGCTGAAACCCATTTAAGTAATACATAAGTATGAAATACTGTCAAACATCGCTGCCGTGCCCCACATGCGTGTTTTACGTTGGCATGGTTGTTTGACAGTACATCCACTAGAGGGCTGTGCAAAGTTCAAAGCTCACTTCCAAACCATGACAAACAAAAAGAGGACAGACAGGTCTCCATCTGCATCAGTTTGTATATTTAACACTGAGCCCAAATGGGCCTTTAAATCCTTGTTTAATGAAATTTTTATAATGTTTGAATGCTTCGGCCAAATATATTATGGGTCAAAAGTCTCAGAAACTACTGCTGTTCTGTGGGTCAAACACTAAAATGTTTGGGAACCGCTAGCATAGAGTGAATTTGTCTCAGCTATTTTACATTAATCCTCACTTTCAGCACAGTTTAAATACAGTTTTTTCCCCTCCTGAGTTAACTTTGATTTTGGCTTCAGTTAACAAGTCAGACTCCTGATGATCACACATCACACTGTGCTGCATGCCAAGCATGAATCATGGCTACTAATTTCATTAAAAGCGTATCATCATCATTCTTTGTTTTACTTTGACAATCTTGATCAAAATATGATGGAAGATGGATTTCAGATAATGACAAGTCGTTAGAAGGAAATTGCTCTGCTTTACAATGGGAGCGATTAACCTCTGCTGCTTCCTAACAGTGTTAGAAGTACACTGACCTTTGCAGCAAGAAAGGTGATAGTTTCTTCATATTATCCAAACTTTGTATTTTTGTTTTGACAGGATAAATCTACTTTTCGATGAGTTGTCTGAACACACACTGCTGCTGTAAAAAAGCATCAACAAGCATCACTTTTATTTAGCTGAGAGCTCAAATCTATTCTCCATCACTACACTGAATGTGCAGCTTCAATGAAGTTATGATAGAATGCAAGAAAATAAAGAAAGTGAGTAAAATAATAATAAAAAAGATTAGAGTCATGGTCTTTCTGATCAGGTATTTACAAAGCACAAGGCTGAAACATTAAAATCAACTTCTGACAGTGCAATTATGAGATCAATTTAAAAAATAAAAGACAAAATAAAGTTCCTTGTGGTTGGGTTGCCTGGTGGCTATAAACTGGTTGCTTTCTTCTGTGTTTCTCTATGATGGACCTGTTTTTACCAAACCTTCCTAAACTTATCCGCAGCTGATGAGATGGAGCAGCTAATGTAAACGTCAGACACATGTGATTCCTTCCCGTACTCCTCATCTTGCCAGATGGCAACTCATAATTAAAAAAATAAATAAATAAATAAATAAACAGCAAGAGAGCAGAGAAGATTGCGTTAACACCTGCTTGCGCTGCTTCAGGGAGACATCAGTCTTAATAGCTTGCAGCTCTGGATTGCAGAGTTTCCTGAAGATGGTTTGAAGAAGAACGAGACGATGAGGGAGGAACAACAGATATCAGAGTAATTAAGATTAGTCTGGAAATGGGAATTTAAATTAAGCCCTCTTGGTGCAGGTCAGCGTGTTTTTTCATGAGATGATGCACGTGTGTCAGCTGAGAAAAAAACTGGAATATTATCGATCTACAAAATGATCAGGGCCCGTATTTATCAAACTTTTTAGAATTACTCTTAAGAACGCTGCTAAGAGTGGACTTAAGTGTAAAAAAATTCTTAGTTAAAAGCTGAGAGTAAAAGTCAGTTATCAAGCGTCTCAGTCTCACTTTAGGCGAAGTGTAGGAGTAATTCAGTGTCAGTCTTAGAGCTGATTTGCGACACCTGGCTGTGCCGCAAAGCTGATCCTGGATGATGTCGTTAGAAAAAAACCCCGACATGGACCAATCACTGCCTCGGATTACATGTTCAAGAATATTGTAGAAGAAATGTCAAGATAAGACTGTGAAAATGCTAAGTTCACTTTCAACACTAATGCTGTCACCTTGTACCGAGGTGCGTGATTGCGTGATTGTTAATATAATAAACCGTAATTTTTTTTGTCTGGGGAGGGGCGGAGCCACACACAAATATCCACCTTTTAGTCCAACATTATGCACAGTTTTTATTTTAATTTTATTTTATTTAGTTTTTTTTTTACATTTGTTTCTTACGGAAGCGTGTTGCTATCAGGCAGGAAAAAAAAAATCCGAGCGCTATCACGTTATAACGTGATACGTATCTTGTTAAAACGTGATACGTATCACGTTTTAACGTGATAGTATCTCGTTAAAACGTGATACGTATCACGTTTTAACAAGATACGTATCACGTTATAACGTGATAGCGCTCGTATTTTTTTTTCCTGCCTGATAGCAACACGCTTCCGTAGTTTCTTTTGTATATTTCTGATTAAACCTATTTTCCACCTTGTAACTGAGAATAACACTTAGGTGGGGAGGAGGACAGCTGTGATCTCTGTCTTCTCAGTCCATTTCAGACCTCTAGTGACAAATCTTAACCACTTAAGAATCTTCTGGAGCAGTCTTAACTTTTCGGGAGATTAAGAGTGATTCTTGGACTTAAGATTTTTGATAACTGGCACTTACACTTAAGTCTGAGATTAGGAGCAAATCTAAGAAATTTTCAGCACTTAAGTCTAAAAATCCACTCTAAGAAATTTGATAAATACGGGCCCAGATATTTAGTTAGCTCAGACTCATCACCAATGTCTACTTTGAACATTGTGATATTTTTACTTAAAATGTTGACAGTAAGTGTGGATGTAAATATTGTTAGCAAAATATCTTCTGAACCAATACACAAAACTCACTGAAGTAATCTGAAATTAATCAACGGCTCATTAACTTTAGGAGTTAGTTCAACACAAAAATTTTCAATTTAAGTAATCAGTAATCTCAGTCAATTTCACAGCTACTGAGCTAAAATTTGATGTGATGGAAGCTTCTAGTCATCACCAGGTTGCACACCTGTGGACTATGACGCCTCACAGGAGCGCTCACAGTGTGGCATCAGATCTTAGTTTTAAACTCTGGCATGAAAGGTTGGAATAATATGTATTCATAATGCTTTCATTGTATTTTTGTGTTTCACTTTTAGTTATGTTTACAATTATTTCAGCATGGCTTCCCTTTTTTTTTAATTGTGCCCCCCACCCCCACTCCCACCCCCAACACCTTCTCTTCATTTTTTCCTCCTCCTGCTCCAGTTTTTCCATGCAGAGACACAAAATTAGTATCACAGCTCTCATCATGTCGGCAAGTAAACAAACAAGCATATTTCCCAAGTGTAATTCCTTTAAAAGGGTATACGCTCCCTGCAGGAGAAGAAAACCCACAATCCTGGGAGACAATTAAAGCCTTCTCAACACCTTGTGGATTCTCTCAAAAGATATTTTATTAGGCTAAAAGCAGGACTGTTTTTTTTTTACTCCATAAAAGCTTTTGGCAGAACGTGCCACATCTCTTTCTCTCTCTTTAGAAGCCTTTACTGTCTGCGAAAAATTTGGATGGACTAAAACATGACACATTTTAAAATGAAGCTGCATTTAGCATTTAGAGATTCCTCATTATTCAGTCTTTTCTTTGCCAACAGTGGCGGAATTATGGAGCAGTTTGTGCTGAGACTTTTGATGTAAAGTATTTATCTGGCAAAAGAAAATAA